AACTAACAAGTTAGAGGAGCTCAACACCACCACCGCTGAGGAATGTCGGGTCAGGCGTAAGAGTAAGCACGGGAGAACTCTTAACGTTATTAAGACTTTGTGGTTATGAGTTTAAGAACTGGAGAGTCATTTTTTAAGAGCACTATTTAAGTTTTGCCCACGTGTTTAGGGCTTTACCTTATTTGAAATTATGTTATTTGAAATTTTCAAATATACCCCGTGGTAGAAATGTTTTTTTCCAAGTTCAAAGTAGTGGGATGTTTGAGAGGAACCACCCAATTTTTTCTTGGTCATCACCGAATAATCCGAGGCCCCCGGGTTTTCAAGGCCCCACAAGAAATTACCAACCTCGGCCGAACTTCATCCAACAACCGTACCAAACGCAAGGTGGCCTAGGGTTTCATCAACAACAACAACCCGACAAGATATCTAAGCTTGAAGACCTAGTGAACACCTTCGTGAGTACGAGCACTCAAAAGTTCGAGAAGATAGAGCAATTTATGGATGTGACGACTACCAAATTTACCTCGTTTGAGGCGGGTCTCCGAAACCACCAAGCGAGCCTCAAAAGTTTGGAGGTGCAAATCGGCAACCTTGTCGGCATCCTCACCGAGAGACCAAAGGGAGCCTTACCTTCCCAAACTGTGGCGATTCCCAAGGATCATGCCGAGGTGAATGCAATTCACGTGGGAGTGTGAAGGTGACTTCGGAAGTCGCCACTAAACAAGTGATTGAGAAGGAAGATACCAACCCAAAGGACGGAGAGAAAAAGCCCTCGCGGAGGAGAGGAAGGCGGCAAAGAAGGCATCGCCGGTGAGTGGGCACACGCCGCTTCTTCCTTACACCACGAGGACATACAGGGAGAGGTTGGAGAACGAGTGTGGAGGTTTCATGGAAATGCTCCGCAACCTCCACCTCAATATCCCTTTCCTTCAAGTCATGGCTCAAATGCCAAGATATGCCAAGTACCTCAAAGGATTCCTCACCAAAAGGCCAAAGCTTGAAGGCCTCGCCAACGTGACTCTTGGCGAGGAGTGTTCGGCTTACCTCCTCAACCGCTTGCCCAAAAAGTGGTCCGACCCATGTAGCTTTAATATCCCTCTTGACATAGGTAACCATCATATAGACAAAGCGTTGGCGGACCTAGGAGCTAGTGTTAATTTGATTCCCTACAAGCTTTTCAAAGAGTTAGAAGTAGGTGAACTTAAGACCACTGAGCTTAGCATCACTTTAGCCGACCGTTCGGTCATTAGCCCGAGAGGAATTGTGGAGGACATGTTGGTGCCAGAGGGCAAGTTTTCCTATCCGACCGATTTCGTGATTCTTGATATAAGCGAGGACTCAGATATGCCGCTAATATTCGGTCGCCCATTCCTCGCCAACACCAAGGCATTAATAGACGTTAATGGGGGACCTTAATTCTGAGAGATGGTGAGGAGAGAATCAAGCTTGAAATTGACTCTAAGGCTAGAAGTGAGGAAGTGAAGGAGCTGGTTTCGAATGATGTGAATGTGAGTGGAGGAGAGCCTCTCAAGGCAAACCCCACTATTACTTGTGTTGCTTGTGATGATGTTGAGCAGGAAGTCAAGGAGGGTACTATGCCCAAGGAAAAGAAGAAGAATGCTTGGAGGCAAAAGATGAAGGAAGCTTTGGCCCGAAGGAAGGAGAAGGCCAAAGCGAGGTTGGCCAACCAAGAGGGCCAACTCATGGAGCTTAAGATGGGAGGAGACAACCCTCGCCCCGAGAGTGTGGTGGATCCACTCTCGGTGGCATCACGTTCCAAGTCATGATCGATCCCCAACCGTCAAGCTAATGACGATAAATTAGCGCTTGTTGGGAGGCAACCCAACGGAGGTTTGTTTTCTTTTCTTTATTTTAGTTTGTGTCTTGTGAAGAGTTTGATTGGACAAGTGGTGTCCCCATGCCAAGTTTTGTGGTTTGTGGTTTAAGGTTGTGTTGTTATCGATTAGGTTGCACGGTGGAATAGGTTAAGCAAATTTTTATCAGAAGTTCCCTGATCTCACTGAGCTTCATTGATGGATTGCTGTGCTCACGTTCTTGTGGTCTTACAAGACCGTGAACATGAAAACGCACCCGTGAACTGGGCGCTTCTGCTTGTTCACCACCTGTCGACCAACTAAGGTTCACGGACGCATTTGAGTGTTCACGGTCGCTAAGATTGTGAACAAGGCAACGCGTCCGTGAACTCCGAGTTGTGCCTATAAAAGGGGCGTGAACGTCGAATCTTCACTTCACGGCCAAATCTCGCCGGAATTTTCAAAATCCCGCCGAAAAACTGTGAAACTCGTGGGTTTTTCAACTTCCCCCCATTTCTGGCGAGAAAAACCCTAAACAAACTTCATACCCATTCTCCCCTCATCAAAACCGGCATGTGCTGAAATTTTGGGGAGATTTGGGGAAAGTTTTTTTCGGTCAAGTCGCCGGCGGCGAGTCTCCGACGAGCTTCCAACGAAGCTCCGGCGACCCCTCTCCGGTCTGGTTTTCGGTCGTTTTTCGCCTTCTTCGCCCACACCTCACTTCATCCTATTTCCCACTTGCGATGCCAGGTTGATTTTTCAGCTCTACCTTATTAATTTGTGGAGAATCGGATTAGGTAGTGAAGTGAGGTTGATTTGTGTGCTTTGAATGTTGAACTTAGATTTAGGACGAGGAATAAGGTAAATTAGGTCGATTGAATGGTGGAATGATTTTGCATGAGCTTAGTTGAGCCTTGGAGGGTGTGTTTGAACCGAATTGTCTTTATTTTTAGAATGTTCCCACCAAGTGCTATGTTGTGAATGCATGTGAAGTTTATGCTTGTTTGGTGGATGGTAGCCACCATGGTTTGGGTTGTGGTTCAAACTTTTGCGTACTTAAACCGTGAATTACCGACAACCATGCCACGGTGTGCTTAAGCTTAAATGTTTGTTATCCATGGTGGAAAAATAAGTGTGGGGGGAATCTCTTTTCTTCCCAATGAGCTTTATTTGATGAATGTTTCCACGTATGGTGTATGTTTGTCAGTTTGTGCAGGATGGTTAACATGGACCACCCATACCTTGTGGCACTAAGGGACATCCCTGAAATGGAAAGAGAGGCGTGTTTTTGGGCATCTTTGAGAGTCGGTAACCATTGAAAACTCGAATTCGCCCATTTCGACGGGCTTCATTGCAGTGATGTTATGAGGGAGTCAGTGGTGCACCCACAGTGGTGCCAAGTCCTTGATCTTGGAGATGACATTTACGGGGAACTTTGCGTCGAGTTTTTCAGCACCTTCACCATCCGCAAGACCCAATGCCTACTCGGTCACCCAATACGCCGGGTCGAGTTCCACTTGGGAGGGGAACTTCGCAATTTAAGTTATGACGGGTTAGCCAGAGCCCTCGAAGTGGAAGCAAAACATGAGCACGATTGGGAGGAAGACGACATCTGAAGTTTCGATGTGAATGCCGCCTTTCTGAAGTTCTACCTTCCAAAGTACCGAAGGACAAAGTTTAAGTCGGCCCTCTCAACGGGATCCACACTCCAACCCCAGTGGCGTGACATCGTTGCACTCCTGGCTTGTTCCCTCTACCCTGCTTACCACAACCCGAACAAGATAACCGAGAGAATCTTATTGGCTTGTCCTTGCATGGTGGACCTGACTAGCACTCTGCACCTGGGTTCAGTCATAGCCACTTCTTTTTCCAGGGTTAATGGGGGAAACCGTTGTTATGTCACATCGATGGGTCCCTACATCACCTGCCTTGCTGGACACTTCAATGTCAGCCTTGCAGGGTGCTCGCAAGAAGGGCGCACCCAGAGATTTGACGAGGGCACTCTGAACTTCATGCGCTTATTGTGCACCTTTGGACCAATGCGGTACATCGAAGGATTGAGTCCCGACCCCGAGGTCCCAGCATCAGCAAAGAAGCCACCTGCTCGAGCACCGGCCGCCGTTGGGCGTCGGCGTCCAGCGCTCCAGCGCCCAACACAACCACCACCACCACCAGCATGTGATCCCCTCGTCCAGAGGGCGGATCGCCTTGAGACAAACTTCGAGGGATTCTCTTCCCGCCTCGACCGGCAGACTGATCTCCTCGAGCTGATGGCTCGATGCCAGGTCGTCCTCCCAGATGAGGACGAGGGTCCTTCCACCGGAGAGAGGTAGCCGACGAGTGAGACATGTGGCAGAGCCGATTTCTTTTGCCCCACTTCTCCACTTGTAACCCTGAACTTGTTGTTTTTGTTATTTTTCTTTATTTTGTGTGTATGACCATAAACTACTACAACTATCGTATTGTGTTTGTAATAAAATCGCCTCGAGCGAGTCGTATTGGTTGTTGTGTGTGTTTTTGTCCCTCCTTGAAGCTCAAAATATCCTACCCCGGTTCGAGTCCAACTTTCACTCACCAAGCCCAAGCGGTAAAGTCATTTTACCCCTTTCTTACGCCATTGAGGGCAATGTCGAGCTTAAGTGTGGGGGAGTTGTTTACTATCATGTTTGTGTGAGTGTGATCAAAGTTTCAAAAATTTGAGGCCCAATGTTTGCCTTATGTTTGCCTAAATTTCAAAAATTTGAGGGCTCCAAGCAATGTTGGCATGATCAAAGTGGCCGGTGTGTGGGAAATTCTCGTGTTTATTAGCATTGATCTTGAATTGTTGCATGTGATCGAGTATATCCTATGATGATGACTGAGAGGTTCATTAGGATAGTACAAAATTTTAGTTCTCACATGTGCATAAATGAATGGATGTCTTGACTCGATTACTTGTCGATTACAATTTCCATGCATTGTGTTTGTGAATTGGAATAGATGGTTGGGTGACTAGGTAGCATGTGAGCTTTGAGCTGATCATTTTCTTCTTGTGTGCTTAGATCCCTCTTACCATGGCGAGTAACATCACA